GTTTCACTGCCTTTCTCAGTCCACAGAGAATATATAACATGATAAATAGCAAAACCTTTGTAGTCCTGTTCAGCACCACTGGAATGAAGCAGATACATCACCTGTCCCAGACTCACCTGAAATAGGGTAAGGTCTTGATCAGCAACCAGAAAGCCTCCCTGCCACACTCACTGCACATTAAATGTATAAAGCAGGAAGCAACAAGTTCCTAAAGAGTTTTGTATTTTTGGGTGCTCCCTATCAGAAAGCCACTTTCAGGATTTCACTGCTTTGCTCCATTATACAATATGTGTTTATTTCCAGCCCGGTTTTATTCAGTTTATAGGCATTTCTTGGTTTGTATTGTCCTTTGGCTTGTTTTTCTGCCTCTAGTTCTTTACCAGTACAACATGTTTATAAAAAGCAACTGTACTGTGTCCAAGCCTTCCTTTTACCAAACCAAGCAAGACATATTCCTCCAAATGCTGGAGGTAGAACCTCTTCTCTCTGCCCAGGCAGTTTAATAGCACTTTTCTGTGCCAGCTCAGTTTACATTCAGCTTTCCTGAGCAGGGCTGATGTTAGTGATACCCAGCATCATGTCTCACACCTCCTGCAAACACTTCACTGAACCTGTGATGAGATTCTGATTTTTTCACTGCACAAATTTTTCCAATTAGATTTCAGTTAGTGAGCTCTGCATTTCTGACAGATGCATGTTATTATGCCATAAATAAATTATTTTGGACATTACATTTAAGGGGTTTTTTCCTTTTTTTTTTTTTTTTTTTTTTTTTGGTAACTTCACGCATCAATTTTGTTCTTTCTTTAGGATATTTTGGTCCTATGGTCTTCCAGCTCTGTATATCTACAGCTTTTAGGATCATACTCCTCTTTCCTTTTGCCAGCTTAATTAATGGATATTCTATTTGAGTTCTAAATGCCACTTATATCCTTCCCATGACTTTTTAGTCAATAACTGCCTATATCCTCAGCAGCCACTTCCTTACCCATGGTTTAATTCCTGTAGTATTAGTGTTTAACCTTCTCCAGTGTAACTTGTACATTCCCAATTGCTAGAGAGAACTGGTATGGAATCCTGTATTTCATGAGTAAGCTGGTTTTAATTTCTGAGATGAAGAATATTTGATTTTTACCTGTGTCTCATTTTTAGCTTTTATCCCACCTGCCGTCTTGCCCCTGCTCCTGTATTTATCAGAATCTATCACACTTCAAACATTCATTTACTATTGACATCCTACTTAAACTATCTAAATTACCTCTCTCCTTAGCACTCACATTTTTTCTTAGTTCTCCTGTTGCTTAATTGTTCTGCTATTTAGTCTTGTTCCTTTACAAGATCTAACTCAGTTCATATTTTGGCAGCTCTCAATTGATCCCTCTGCTTCTTGACCTGAAAAATATGGCTTTTCCCTTCAAATATTGAAATACCTAGGAAAAGCTTCTGTCCTTGCCTTACAAAGAAAACCAAACGAGACCCAAAACCAACTATACATGCTCCAACTATAGTTCACAAAGTTTTCAAACTCAGCCAAATCAAAATCAATTTTTACTAGGTCTCTGTTTAGCATCTCTTTTGCCCAAGGGCTATTTCCCTGCCAAGTTGCTGCTTTTGCTCCCACCCATTTCAGCATTCTTCAGACTATTTAAAATTCAAGTGTATATGGATCCAATCTGCATTTATATAAATATACAAGGTAGAAAAGGAAGTAATACCTTGATCAAATTCTAATGCAACATGTTGTGTAGAACAAACAGTTCTTTCCTCCAGTTCTGTCCCTAAAATTCTAAGGAGACTTTCAGGTAAGTATGGAAAGGAAGGAAGTGTTGCAGATGAATCGAGAGACATCTGTCTTCTAGATAAGTAGTGGGGTTTCTGCTTTGGCTGTAATTAGCCAATATTCTTAAAGATCCTTATACAGCCAAATCATCTCTTCTTACACCCAGAGCTGAGAAATCACTGGAGTATATTTGCAGCATTCATGTGGCTTAGAGGTTTCCACAAGTAAAGCCTTATTTTTTTAGGATAGTTATATAAACAATAAAGCCCTTTGAACAGGAGAGCTTCTATAAGCAGTTCTTTGTAATGTTACTGTCAACATCAGCAATCCCTTCTCTTTGGGGAACTTGGATGTGATATAAAAGTCGTGTTCCTTAAAATGAAAACCAAAAAGGCTCCTTATGACATCAGTTACCACACCTCGCTCGGGTAATCCTAAACCATACCAAACACTGTCCTTTTATACTGATAATTTTGCTCTTTAGCCCTGAGCATCCAGATAAGAAACTATGAAGGGTCATTTTTCATGGTATATGCTGCATTTAATGTTTGATTTGATGAATCAGCAATAGGCAAGTTTGTAGATCAGAACCGTATTACAGGAAAACGTGTTTGTGCTAAAAGGAGGTAGTAGGGTGAGATTCTAGGCTGGGCAACAAAGGAGAACACAAAAAACCAAGAAGGATGAATAAATCTGCAGGACAGAGCTGGTCCAGCATCTCTGCTCAGAGAGGCTGTGCTGCCTGTGAGGAGCGAGCAGCTCTCACAATTACATTGGCACAGCACCTTGGAGAGGTGAGAAGGAACAGTCTGGAGTTAATGTGCCAACAACTGGTGTTTTAGAAGAAGCCTGGATTTTATTAAAGGTCTTGGCTCAGGACAGCAAACGAGGCTGGTTCAAAGCCTGTCTTTAATATCAAGTATCAAGGTTTCTGACTGTCTGAAAGAAAGACTCATGAAAAGGGCTGGATTACTACAGACCGCTGAAAAACCATGAGTAAGATTTCTCAATTAGGAATGTAATGCTAATTAGACTTTTTGGGTCAGCCTGGGTGGGTTGGCTAATTAGCCAAAGTAATATACCCATGTGATTGGCCTGGAGTGTGGGTGAGGTTCCTGGAAGCACCAGGTGATATCTGGTGGAAAAAAAAGGATGTGTGGGTGGTAAAATCAGGACAGCTGCAGTCAGTGACTGGAGAGGGGGAAATACATCTTCAACAGAAAATGCACAAAGGCTCTAAATTTTCAGAAGAGTTTAGGTAAGGATTAGCAAGCTTCTATAATGTTTATTGAAAGCTTAATTTAGGATAAAATAATTTCTTTGTAAGATGGAGTGTTGTCACACCAGGTCAGCTTAGTTGTGTGATAAAACCCAAGACCATTTCAGGGCAATAACAAATGGCAGATTTGCTTCATCCTCAAAGCATGGAGGAGACAGAGGCCCTGCAGTTGTTGTTTTAACATTAAAGTAGATGTGAATTCAAACTGCCAGCCTGTGTTTTCAGTTTCTTAATAAAACATGAGTTTTACCTACGTAATCTTTTGTTTCGGTAGAAAAATGATAACACTCATGTCCTTCCTAGTCACCCTTTGCCCCTGCAGAGAACACACAGGTTGGGTTATGGCCCTGCCTAAGCCTACCATATGGTGATCACAGTCCTTGTGATTATGAAATATTATGTGTGCTTGCTGACAAAGCCACATGGTCTGTTCAGTGCTTCAGAAGAGAACTCTTGGACTTCCTTAGGCTCAATGCCTGTGGTTTCCTCTGAGAGCACTGGCTGTGTCACAGGGGGCTCTCTGCGGTGCCCGGGCACAGAGGAGGCTGCCAGGTGCACCAGAACAATGGGATAGGAAAGGACTTGGCTCCTCCAGGGCAGCTTTTCCAGGTTTCCACTGTGGGCTGATTGCCCCGGTCTCCAGGGCGCTCCTGCTGAAAATGCACATTGTTCCACTGAGTGGATCCCACAAACACTCCAGGTCCTGAACATGGAGAGGAGAGCACGGCAGCTTTTACATGTGGTTCAGAAAATTAGAGGAAGGAGGGAAACAAAACAGAGAGGACTTTAACCCACACTAAAGCAGTACAAAATTTTCTGCCGGCTGCCTCTTTCCTTACAAAATTCTCTTATTTCCTATATATGCTCATCCTCACAACGATGCTAACCGAGAACTATGTAACTGGGCCAGGTCATACAAGGAGCAGAGTTTGTACGTATCGCTTTTATTCCTCATTTGGGCTTCTGAAGGTTGGTAACACTGAATAATTTGAGTTTTAGACCTGTCCTCTGTCCTTTTATTTATGTAGCTGAAGCAGACAAAGCAATTTGCAACAGCTGCATGTGATGGAGAGTTGTCTTGTAACATTTAAAACTGTAAGTGCTGGATTGCTGTGCAGGAATTCACAGCTCAATGACTAAGATTTGTTCTGTAGTTATAAGATCAATTGCAAGTCTACCAGGAAAAAGCAGTAAGCCTTGCAAGAAACATGTTTAATTGATTTTACATTTACTATTTAATAAATTTTGAGGGTTTTCCCTCTTGACAGATGGCAATTTAATTTCTGGATTCTTAAAGAGAAAAAAACCCTTAAGCTATTATGCCCAGTGATTTAACGTATTTCACATTTCAAAATATTAGAGATGGGAGGATGTTCTGCTCCAAGGTTTTGGTTCAGGCCCATCTTTTCCTCTCAACAAGTTTACATGTGAAAAAGATACTGCCAAATAAATCTCCTCAAAGTGAAACTATGGCTGCAAAACACCCTGCTGTGCTCACACTTGTGGATACAAGTGAACAGAGTTAGAAATAAATTATTTCTTAAATTACACAGAGATATCTGTTGAAATCTATTTCCTAGTCAGTCTATCCTAAAAAAACCAGAGCAGAAGTACTGAGATACAGAAAAGTCATTCACAGTTCTAGGAACTGAGGAGAAAGACCTTGCACAAACGGAGGTAGGTTTGAGCAGGCATTCCTTGTGTTGTGATCACATGCTGCAAAGGGAAAACAATTTTTTTAAGAGCTTTGGATTAGCCCAAGATTCATATATCATGTCAGACAGCAACTAAATTAAAAAATGGTATCTGGAATAAATTTTAAGTGTATGTTCAGCCCCAACACTAAAGAAGTTTCTAATGAAAATAAAGACAAATCAGTGGAAAATTGGAACTAAGCTACTCTAATTTTTTTTCTCTTCTGTTTTCAAATGTATTTTCCAGAGTGGATCACTAAAGGAGCCAGAGCCAAACAAAATACCACCTCAGCGACCACCACCTCAAGGTTGTTTACAGTACATTCTCGACTGTAATGGCGTTGCAGTAGGACCAAAACAAGTCCAGGCTACTTAGATATCTAATTGAGACTAAAAGCAAGGGTTAAAGCAAAAAAATGAAAAAAAAAAAAAAGAAAAAAAAAAGGAAAGGAAAATAAATGAACACAAACAATCTCAAAAGCAAACATCTCAATTTTGTTCAGTTTTTGCATTGTTTCAGTGCTGACCTGGACTGTGTTTTTTCTATGCAGTGTCAACTCTCCCGTCTGGTTGTTTTCTTGTTCCTGTCTGTGCGTGTAATGCTTTACCAACTTTCCTCTGTAAAACTCGTGATTTCAGGGCTGTTGTCAACAGTGTACAAAGAATGTGCCTCTCTAGAGCCCCGTGCAACTGTACATTATGGATGGTTAGACAGTATTTTTGGAGTATTATATATATATATATCGTTCAGTAAAATACCACCGAGGTGCAAATCTAAATCCTTTTGCTTACTCTGTGAGTGTGTGCACACTGTACTCATAGCCTTTATTTTTGTGTGCATGACTAATAGGTAGGTGATCCAGATATATTTTTAAAAGTCTAGATTAGAATTTGCTAGTGGGGCTTTTTATTTATAATTTTATAAAGTTTATTAACATTTGAGTTTTACTTATACACAAGTGGAAGTCTGATATTTCAGTGACTCCATAAAATACAGTTCTTCCCAAGGAATATTTAAAATATCTTCTATTTTACATACTGGTATTCATATTTTTAGTAAATCTGCATTAAATTATTAGCTACAAAGCTATGTAAATGGGCCACCTATGTGCAATATCTCAGTGAAAGTGTATTTAATGTATCCTATTTCAATTAAGTAGTACCTTTTGCTGTCATTCTGAATTAGTAATCTATGGATATTTTTAATGAAAACTAATGCAAATACTTTCAAAAAATCTTATACTTACCTAAGATTTAAATCCCAGGTTGTTTAGTGAGAAGTACCTCAAGGACTGTTAAACTTCCTATAAGAGCTCATTTTTTTTCAAATACTGAGATGTGAAGGGATGGCAGACCAAGGTACCTTTAACCAGCCAGGGATGTTGCTCTTGGATTAGAATGCAAGACAACAGTGTCAGTGGTTTTCTTTACCAACTCAGGTCTATCTACTGTTTTACACCTAGGATTATCCAGATAGTTATAAAGAAAATCCAGTCCCGACGTTGTCCACATTAATAAGGTTTATAATAATTGCTTGACATCAAAGATGCAAAAAGACTTGAGATGCCTGACAAGTGCTAGATTTTCTGTAGGTAAATTATTTGTGATTTTTACAGAACCCATTTACAATGTAATGGTTATGAGAACTCCACGGGCAGGCAGTTAATCTGTTGTGAGAAATCTAGCCCAGAGTCACAGGCTGCACACTAGTGGCATACCAGAGAGCTTAGTTGCAAATGAGCCACAAAACTATAATTTTCGTCTTGAATATGTACAAAGATGAGTAGTGACCATTAGTTTCGTGCAAACAATTATGTTTAAAGGGAAAACAGCCTTATGTTCTACTTCTGTTTTCCCTACAAGCACTGGAAAAATTATCAGTGAGTCTCATCATTCTTAGTGTTTCTTTTATTTGTACAAGCTGGCTGGTGAGATGAGAATTAAGGTATGCATTATTAGCTATTTAAATGTTTGTGGTAAGTGCTACTGTTTACTACCTATCAGGAAATTACATGAATATTTTGCTTTAGTGATCAGCATTTGTCTGGGTCAGTGAGTATTCCAATGATGGCATTGGCTATTTTGTTCTATATTAAGAAAATTTCACTTAGAATCAGGTTCACAAATCCTTCCCTCCAGACACCCTAAAAGTGAAGAAACCATACTGCCCTGGGGTGGAGAAATGAATCTGATGACTGATTTTCTTTCAAGCAGTTGGTATTTTGTTTTGCATGGAGTAGTACCAGTGATCACAAGTGCTTTTCACACGACATTTGTGTGCTGTGTGTGAACAGAAGGGTGTTCCAGGCAGGATTTTAGCCTGTTGACTGTCAAGGATTTGCAGGGGCACACAGTATTCCTACATCCCACAGCCAAGACACAAGACAAAATGTCTCTCTGCATGTCAGCATGCTTAGGTGCAATATTGTGGGTAACAGGGAACAGATGTTTTAAAGTGTAGGCTTAATGTTCACTTTTGTTGACTTATTTTTGGTAAAAGTTTCTTTCATGATTGTTGCCTTTTGTACAACCCAGCTGCAAGAAAGTGAGCAAACGCTGGAAATGTGACAGCAGTATATCTTTTATGTGAAATATCTTGTACAGCTTAATGTGCAATAAAAGAAAGTTATATCTGTCTTCAGTGTAAAGTTTCTGGCATTCAAGCCTGTATGTACAAGTGGGGGAAAAAAACCTTTCTGGGTTTCAATACTGAGTGAAGAGACTAATAAGAAAATGATCCTTATTAAGATGTTGCAAGACCATGTTATCACCTTCAAATATTTCCTACAAAAGTGGTTCAAATTAATAAACAATGAAGGCACATTCCTTAACATACAGTACGTGCGATTTATCTTTCTACATCACACTAACACACTGCTACGACTGTATGAAAACTTACTGAAGCATTAGCACGTGCTGTTGTCAGACACATACACTGGAATCTCATGTAGCAAGGGGAAAGCTGACTACACTAGCAATTTAAAACCAAAAAAAAACATGTATTGCAGCGCTACCTCCAAATACGAAGGTTTTCTTTTAAGACCTGACTAGATGCAGTCTTTCACTTGCACTAAATATCTGTGTAAGACTAAAAATTCCCAGATATCTAGAACATCTAGATCAGTTGTGTTCTATAGTATTTACTGTTCAGCAAAGCTCTTTTCCTGAGTGAAACGATACAAAGAAATACTCAGAATTTCACCCCATCCTTTCTTCCCCTAAAGGCAGATGTCCTGTGTGCATGTCATGTGCAAGAATTAAGATTCAGTTATAACATTCAGTCCAGAAAACCACAATCAGACATGGGGTATGAGATAAAAGCAGCCCACTGATATCTGACACAGCACTATTTCAGTTAGAAAGCAGAAAAAAACCTGCTGTTTGATGATGTAGCATCTTTCAGCCGTGGATTTCACAACTTAAGTCTCTACTACACGTTGCATTTTCACACTTAATGCAGTAGCTTGCCAGCATCCTTCCTTTTCAGTGGAAAGATCATCTTGGTGAAGAATTAGTAATGACTTTCTTGTGTTTCTTGTAATGTTCTTGACATATCTCACTAAGGGGTTAAGTAAGTTATTAAAATACTTTAAATTAGCCAGAAAATTTCAGTATAAAGTTGTTTTACTGCTGTAAGAGTGAATCTGAGAGGCCTATTACAGAAATAATTTAAAAACTTCGGAGGAACAAAACTGCAATAACTACACAGAAAACAGTAACTATATTGCTGAAATAGATATTACTGTTATTTCACAGCCTCTCCTTAACTCAAGCCAACATTATTCTGGGTGTAACTCCATTGATTTGGTTTGAAGTCAGTACCTCTACTGCTGGGATAAATTGGGTACTATTTAGCAATTTAAAGGGTGAATCATGGGTGCTCCAAGCAAGTTACTAATGTACGGAGTGTGATTAGTAGTATTGTCTACCTGAAAGTACGATCCATATGAATAGAATTTTGCCTCAGAAGTAGAATTAATCACGTTCGAGGATTATTTTAAAGTGTTGGATGTGAAGTCTAATAAGGACTCTTTGAAACTATAAGATTATGAAGTTTTTCTTGTGCTGAAACCTAGGGGGCCCAGTGCAACCCCAAGGAATGCAATCCCAAAGCCAGGAGCCATTGCAGCCCCAGCGCATGTTCCCCCCGGGGCAGTCAGCAAAGCCCTCAACTTCCCAGCCACAGCGTCCACCCGGACCCACCACCCAGCAGCCACGGCCCCAGGCTCAAGGTCCTCCCAGCACCAGATTATCAAAGGAAGCAGAGCCACAGCCACAGCCACAGCCAGCTCCACAGCCTGCTCCACAGCCTGCTCCACAACAGAAGCCTCAGTCTCATCCACAACTTAAGTAAGATTTGCTTTATCCATTTTATTCTCTCCTCGTAACACAGATCTTGCTGCCATAACTGTAATTTGGGAGTTGGGCTAATATTCAGGAAAAAAATGGATGTACATTCTCAGGTTTAAAATGAGGTTAAAGTATTTAAAAATATTCAAAATATTTTAGTATTTTGGGTGGTGGAACAGGCTCCCCAGGGAGCAGCACCAAGCCTGACAGAGCTCAAGGAGTGTTTGGATGATCCTCTCAGGCACATGGTGTGACTCTTGGGGGTGGTCCTGTACAGGGCTAGGAGTTGGACTCAGTGATCCTTGTGAGTCCCTTCCAACTTGGCATATTCTGTGATTCTGTGATACCTGTTTATGGTTAGTAATTCACTATCATTTGTTATATCCTAAGCACTGCACAAAATTTCATTTAGTAGTTGTGCAATCTCTGCCCTAGTGAGGTCTGAAAACACATCATCTTTCTGCTCTTTGTTTCCTCCTTTTGGTGCCACTGACTCACAAGCTGGGTGTGCTGTAAGTCTGCACACAAAGAGGAAGTCTTATCTATTTAAACTTTTAACCTTGCAGTCACTCAGAAAACAGATTCCATTTCCAAAAGCCTATCTCAGAAACAATCCCAGTGAACACTTTGGACAGTGGCTGCCAAATTGTTTCTTTACAGCTGCACTTGGTCCATGGTTGGGTGGTGGCACTGACTGTAGAGCCCAGGTGATGCACAGAAAAGGCTGCACAGAACTGTCTCTGGGTATCTCACTTCTGGAAGATTCCTTACAGTAAGGAATCCTCACAGCTTAAACCCAGCCAGAAACAGAAAACTTGGGGAAGTTTTTAGCAATTATTTGCAGTTTTTCAGCACATAAATCCTATTGCTGGTGGAATCAGAGGCACATTCTCCTTAGTTTGGTACATAAAAGACTGGCATGTAGGCTTTGTTTCATCCCAGGAGCACAGATCCCCTTGTTCCACCCACTCATATGTTAATAGTGGTGGGAAACAACTCTGAGTCCTCCCCTGAGCCCCATTGAGTGGAAGAGAGACGTTAGATGACAAAATGCAAAGATGAGGGTATTTTCCTTGCCTTCATAGGACAGTGTATTTCTTTATTCTGTTTTATAATCCTAAAACTCAAGTTCATTGATCCATCATTTAAGTATACATAGTGAATAGAGAGGTCGATTTTCTTAAGCAAGATGGAAACTAGTTTGTAGTTTGAAACTTAACTTGACAACTCCTGACATTGAAGAAAAGCAGCTAAGAACAGTTACAGGACTGTACCATTTCCAGCTTTCTCCCTTTAGTTCTTTGTTCACATCTAGATTCATTTTTCTCTTCTTCACATGGAAGAGTGTCTATTTAAAACAAAATAACAAAGGAGAAATTAAAGTTTTTAAGATGTAAGTCATAATGAGAGTAGTTCTTCTAACTTTCAGAAGCAGTTTTAGGTCCACACCAAGGCTCAGATCTCCTGCCTGTAGGATTAACTCTATTTGCATGTGTATGCTTTGTATTCACCCACATGCTGTTACCTAACCTGTATGTACATGTTATTAATCTGTGAATAAATATTTAATTAGGCTACTTATTGTGTTACTAATCAAGTCAAGTGCTGCTTCCCACCCTCCCTCTTTCAGTGAGTACAAACAAACATTTATCAGTCTATTCTCATTAGCACAACTATAATTTATGAAAAACCTAAAATGCCTGTAGCACTGTTTGCTGTACATTATTAGTTTAAAAGTAGAGAGGCTGCAAACCATGAAGAGTCTCAAGCAATCAGAATAAGAAAAGTGTTTCAGTTTTACTATAGCCAAAACTGAAATCTATTGTACTGAGATAAAAATGAAATCAGTTAACTAGTTTTACTAATGCAGGGATGTCTTTGTAAGAAGTTTATAACTCAATTATGTATTCTATTTAAATACAAGCCTATTTTTTAGATATTATTTTAATTGACAAATCAGGAGTTAAAGTTTTAAACTTTAGCTATTTTCTTTCTTGTTTTCCTTGTGTGTTATGTGTTTCGTGCTTATGGAAACTCATACAGAAGTTATATGATAGCACTAAGGATGGAGTAGCATTGCTAGACTAACTGCCTATAGGCAAGAAAAATTATGTCTGATTTGCAGTATTTTTTAAAGCTATAAACTGTCATTAAGCCTCCATTAAGGATCTAATGTCCAATATGGAGAGAGAGAGAGAAAGAGAGAGCACATTACAACTTTCGGATTCATTCTTCAAACTCTTGCCAATATACCTAATTTTTCTTTGTGCATAACTGTTTTCAGCCATAACAAACCCAGTTATTAATTGTCCATGTTCGGTTGTGATTCGGATTTAGTAGGCAGGCCCCCATTTTTCTCAGGTTCTAATTTACACCATCCAGTTTACTGAAATACAATGTTTCAGATCTGTAAAAAGAAAACAAACCACCAGTGTGTGCCTTAAAAAAATGTTTTCCTCAGATATTAAGTCAAAGTGCAGGATGAATGTGGTGGGTTGCCCATAACTGCGTTGCTTGTGGTCAATGCCCATTTTGTTCACTGTCTAGGGAAGGGCCTAGAGCTGTGCCAGGGCAGGCTCAGGTTGGATCTCAGCCAAAGGTTCTTCCCCCAGAGGCTGGTTGGGCACTGCCCAGGCTCCCCAGGGCAGTGGGCACAGCCCCAAGGCTGCCAGAGCTCCAGGAGGGTTTGGATGATCCTCTGGGGCACAGGGGGTGACTCTTGGGGATGGGCCTGTGCAGGGCCAGGATTGGACTGGATGATCCTTGTGGGTCCCTTCCAGCTGAGCATATTCTGTGGTTCCGTGATTTTCCTGTTCTCCTCACTGGCACAAATGATGAATGGACAGAAGCTGGGGGACAATGTGACCAAACCAAACCTGTTGTGTTTTTGTCTTGCAGCAAGTCTCAGTCTTTGACAAACGCCTTCAGCTTCACAGAATCCTCCTTCTTCCGGTCATCTGTGAATGAAGACGAAGCAAAAGCTGAAACCATCCGAAACTTGAGGAAATCCTTTGCTAGTCTCTTTTCTGATTAGCCAGCTTCATCTAAATGCATCCAACATATAGTCTGAAAACTCCGTGAATATTCCATAGGTTTTGTTTTCCCTGTTCCAGTACCCTTCTCTACTGTGCTAACTGTTGTATTAAGCAATATGTTAAACTTACAGAAAAAAAATAAGTAGCAGGAGGACTTTGATGAGATCCCATCCAGGAACATGTACAAACATCTGTAAAGAATGAAGGGTTCAATTGCTACCACAGAATGTTGAAGTCTGAGGTCCTTATCC